GCAGGGTCGCGGCTACGCGAGTTAAGATCGCCGCCCCGGGCCCTGAGTCCTCGCGCTCTGAACGCATGGACCCCCTTCGGGGAGCTGGGCTTCGGCGGCTGGAGCCGAGTGGGACTCGGAGTCTGCCGGGGCGCACCGGGTCCGGAGCCCTGGGTGGGGGACCCCGGAGGGGACAGGGCGCGCTGGGCTTGGGGAGAGCGGGTCCTGCACACGGGGCTCAGGACACCGAGGGTTCTGCGCGCTGCACCCGGGAGAGGGGGGTAGGTGTCGCGGAGCGTCTGCTCGGGCTGGGGAGAGGAGGTCCGGAAGGAAACTGCCACGGGTCGCTGAGATCCTCCCAGCCCTCACAGGCCCAGGGTGACCCTCCAGCCAGGCCGAGCCCGGCGCACCGACCTCCCCCAGCCTCGCCCAGGGCACTCGAGTGCAGCCGCCCTCCCTTGCGTTTTGACACTTAGCGGCGGTGACACCTCCTCAAAACAGCCTCCGGGCCCTCTGCGGACTTGGGTCCTGTCCAGGAATCCGATCCCAGGCTGTGAGGTCTGTCCCTACCAGGAAGGTGGGTATTTATTTCCTGGACTCGCTCAGAGCCTCTGGGGGCAGGCTGGTCGGAAACTTCGCTGCGCCTGGCGAGCACTCCGCCTCCGCCTCTGCCTCGCGTTCTCAGAGATGGGAAGGAGGTGCCAGGAAAACAATGACAAACAAACCGGCGCTGTCTGTCTGGATGTTGTGAAGCCTCATGCGTCTGCCAGGACAGTCAGCGACCTGGAAACCGCGCTGCGCGTGAGAGCGAGGTCCAGGTCCTCAGTTGTCTGAAAGGTTTCTGTGTCTGCCAAGAGAAGGGATTAAACGTCGCACCCCCCACCCAGTGACCCCCGGCTCCCAGGCATTGACCTTGGCGCCTCCCCAAAGGCAAGGGGCTCTGTAGGTCTCCCTTGCTGCAGGACTCTCTATCCCCTGTAAGGTGCGTGGCCAGCTGGAATGAGGCAGTAGGTCCTGGGTTCAGATCCTCTCCTGGCCCCTGGCCAGCTTCTCTTCTCCTGGGATGGTGGCAAGGATTAAGTGAGGAAACTTTAGGATGCACCTGTGTCTCTTGGGCCCTCAATAAATGTGAACAAACTGTGTTTCCTTTCCTTTGGGTTGGGCTCCTGAATCCCCTTCCCCGAAATCAGGGCCTTAAGGGCTGAGGCTGGAACGCAGAAGAGTGCCTGGCCTTCCTCCCTCCTGGTACTTTCCTGGGTGCCATGGGAAGGGAAGGAGAAAGGGGACTGTTAACCTCCATAGAGCTGTTCGTGAAGGCTCAGAAGACCCTCACCTTTCTAATCCTCCTGATCTTGTCATTAGACTCGCCCATCAGGGGTGCAGTGCCTGATGGTCAGCCCAGCAAGTCTCGCAACATGGGGCTGGGAAGCCAGTAGAGAGAATTGCTGGCCATTTGCATGAGTCAAGCGCCTGGTGACCTCAGCAGCCTTCAGGCACTATCTGTCCCACAGCACTGTCCTAGAGGTAGCACCTACACCTGACACCCACTCAGTTCACTCCTCTGTCTGCCTCCTTCCCTCCCTGACAACCCACGGAAAATCCAATAGCATCTCAAGCTTCTCTTGAAAACTGAGCTGTGGCGTTCCCTCTGCTCTCCCCCAGTTTCTCTGGCCTAGACAGTGGCATCTGACATCCACTCAGAGCCCAAGGAGCCATCCTTAGTTCTTCTCTGTCCCTCACCTCCCAAACCCTCTAAACGCCAGCAGTACAACGACACCTCTTGCAACCTCTATGGCTACAGTCTCACCTCATGGCTCCTCTGCTGGGGCTTCCTGATGTATCTACCTGCTTCTCTCTAAGTCCTTGCAACCTTGAACAGAAACTGATTCTCTTCTTTTCCTGCTAGAACCTTCCATTGGCTTCCTGTTTCACTCCAAATAAAACCCTTTCCTACAACACCCTACATGAGCAGCTCCTGCCAACCTCCTTGACCTGGATCTCTGCTCCTGCCCCCACCCCCTTCTGCTTTCTAAATCTCAACCACATCAACCTACAGTCTAATTTTCAAACATATGTAGTTCATTCTTTTTTTTTTAAAGAATGATTTGTCATCAATTTTCTAGAATTATTTTATTTAACTTTATTTATTTACTTACTTATTTTAATTTGACCAGAGAGGGACAGAGTGAGAGTGAGAGAGACAGAGAGAGAGAGAAAGTGAGAAAGCAAGCCACCAGGTCCAGGACTCGAACTGCGGCTGGCTATGTAGGAGTCCAGTGCCTCCAACCACTACCCCACCTGTTGGCCCCTTATTATTATTTCTTGATTTTGCTACAGGACACATGTGCTTACCAGAGAGAAAGAGAGAGAGAGAGTTAGAAAGTAAGCCACCAGGTCTGAGACTTGGACCACAGTCGGTCATTCTCCTCGTCAGAGTCCCGTACCTTAACCACCATGCCACCTGCTGGCCCTTCATTCCCATCTTGAGACTTTGCATTCGCTGTCCCCTCTGTCTGAAACACCAATCTGGTCACAGCTGCGACTAACTCAGCTCAGATGTTGCCAACTCAGAGATTCTTTCTAGACTACCCAGTTCAAGTAGCATGCCCGTCTATCTCCAGGGGCTCGGTCTCATTACCCCACTCTGTTTTCTTGACTCTTTATTACTGTCTGGAATTCTTATTCAGGGATGTTGATCTGTTATCTGTCCCAGCTCAGTAGACTGTATGTTGGAGACGGCATAGCATTTGTCTCTTGCTCCTTAGGCATGGCCGATAAGAAACAAGCCAACAAACACATCTGTAATTGCCCATTGTGGTGAGTGTTCCAGAAGCTTGAGTCAGGTAGTGGTGTGGTGGGTAAGGTGGCTGGATCTCACATGGCTGACTGTGTGATTCAAGGCTCAGACCTAGCACTTGAAAGACATGCTGAAAGGACCAGCAGGTGATGTGGTGGTTGGGGGCACTGGACTCCCACATGGTCGACCGCAGTTCGAATCCCCATTCCCCCCCCACTCTGTCCCTCTCTGGTCAAGTTAAAAATAAATAAATAAATAAAGTTAAATAAAGTAATTCTCTAAAAAAGAAAAGAAAAAGAAAAAAGAAAAATGGGTTAAGTAGTATGTGTGCATGTGTACTCTCAATCTCAAAAGGATAAATGGAAGAGAAGGAATTGTGGTATAACCATCCCCCACAGGGGTGCTTTCTCACTTTCTCTCTGTCTCTCTCTTTCTGTCTCTGTCTCTCTCGGTCAAATTAAAATAAATGAGTAAATGCTATTAAATAACTAATTCTTCAAAAGAAATAAATAAATGCATGATAGAGTGCATCTGTACCCACACATGAGAGAGAGATGGGTGCTGTCCCCAGGGTCTGGTCACACTGAGGTCCCTTTCCTCTGGGCCTCCAGCCTGTTTGATCTCTGGGCAATCATGCCGCACCTAGAGTGTTTCAAGCTGACTGGGCCGGAGATTCCTACCACGAGCGAGCCTAGGAAAGACGGATAACCTGTGCCAGGTCACACACTGAGTTTAGGACAGTGGAGCTCAGCCTTTTACCATGAGAACATGCACGTAGCTTTGATGGTGGGCCTGCAGCCGTGTCCTGGAAAGCACCTGATCCTGAATTTCCTGGTATCTCATTTTCCTCACCTGTATTTATTTAAATTTTTGCTATAGGGTCAGCATGCTTGCCAGAGACAGAGAGACAGAGGGAAAGTGAGAAAGCACCTTCCCCAGGGTAGATAGTCATGCTGCAATCCTTTCTCATTCTCCTTGTGAGCTTTTGGGCATGCACGTACCTGCACCCAGCATGTTTTTCCAGGCTGCCGGATCTGGGACTCAAACCATTCATTTGGCCATGTGGGATCCAGCCATCTTAACCTCCACATCATCTGCTGGTCCACCTTTATTTATTTTTTTTTTTTTACAGAGATTTTTGCTACAGAGCACGTGTGCTTGCCAGAGAGACAGAGAGACAGAAAGCGAGAAATCACCCCCTCCCCCCCCACCCACCCCCTCACAGGAGGGATGGCCACACTACAGTCCCTTCTCCTCCATTATCCTCTTGGGATTTGGGGCACGCACTCACAGGCGCCCAGCATGAGTTTAAGTCGCTGGGTCTAGGACTCAGACCACAGTCAGTATGTGGGAGTCCAGCATGTAACCATTATGCCATCTCCTGGTCCTCCACCTTTAGTTTTCATACTTTTTTTTTTTTTTTTTTTTTTGCTATAGGAGGTGTGTGTTCACCAGATAGAGAGAGATGGAGAGTCATAAAGACAAAAAGGGAAAGGGAGAAAGCAACCCCCAGTGGGATGTAGTCACACTGCTATCTCTTCTCTATTTGTCTATCCTGTCTGGTTTTTGGGCATACATGTACATGCACCTGGTGTGTTTTTCAAGCCTCTGTTACCAGGATTTGAACCACATGGCTGGTCATGTGGGATTCAAATGCCTTAATCTCCAGGCCACAGAGTTGGCCCTTCTTTAAGTAGGATGACTCTATGATTTTTATGTTGGGCTTTGTTTTACTCAGTAGACCCAGAAGAAGCAGCTCTAAGAGGAGGGAGCCCTCTGTCCTCAGCCCAAGGGCCTTGGAGCTGAGAGGGGCCAATACACTCATAGACACAGCAGGTAGGGGCACATGCAAACCACCCACACGCACGCTGGCCAGCCAGCAAGGCAGATGTGGGCCTTAGGTCTTCTGGAACTGACCTTTGCCAGACAGACAGAGAGAGACCAATAGATAGAAAGTGAGAAATCACCCCCCAGGGATGATGGCCACGCCATGATCCTTTCTTCTCCTTTCCCCTCTTGGGGTTTTGGGCACACATGCACACACACCGGGCTTGAGTTTTAAGCTGCCAGGTCTGGGACTTGAACCATAGTCGACTATGTGGGAGTCCAGCAGCATAACCATTATGCCATCTGCTGGTCCCCATCATTTCTTTTAAATTTTTATTTATTCATTCATTTATTTTAATTTGACCAGAGAGAAAGAGAGAGAGTGAGAGAATAAGCCACCAGGTCCAGGACTTGAACTGGGTCCACTACGATGGGAGTGTCCAGCACCATAACCCACCATAACCAGCATAAAAAGGTTTATGCATTTCTTCCATGAGTAAGAGAGAAAAGAGAGGGCACTCCAACAGAGTCCCAGTGCCACAATCCACTCCAGCCTCAGCCAGCCCCGCCTCCCCCCCAGTGATGGGCACATGTGTTCAGTATACTCAGGAAGGTCTCTGGACACTAACCCAGAACCTTCCCACATGAGAAAGAGCAGAGCGTCATGCGTACTGCTGCATTATCATCCAGCCCCCATTCTTTCATTTTTTTTTTTTTTAAGAATTTTTTTATTTGACTTTTTTCATTTTTATTTTAATTTGACCAGAGAGGGGCCGAGCAAGTGAGTGAGAGAGAGAGGGAAGCGAGAAAGCAAGCCGCCAGGTCTGGAACTCGAACCACAGTTGACCTTCTGGGAGTCCAGCACCCTTAACCACCACATGACCTACTGGCCCTGCCATCATTTCATTTCATTTTTTAAAAGGATTATTTATTTGGGACCAGCAGATGGCATATCAGTTACGTCACTGGTTTCCCAGATGGCTGTGATCTCGGTTTGAGTCCCAGACCTGGTGGCTTGAAAACCACGCCAGGTGTGTATGCATGTGTGCTGAAGATCCTGGGAGGAGAAGGGAGAAGAAGGGATTATGGTGTGACCATCCCCCCAAGAGGGCTATTTCTCACTTTCTCTCTCACTATCCCTGTCTCTCTCTCTCTCTGTCCAGTGAGCACACGTGCCCTAAGGCAAAAACTTCTTTTAAAAAAAATATATATGTATATATATATTTAATTTAATTTATTATTACTATCTTTTACTTTGACCAGAGAGACAGAAAGTGAGAAAGCAAGCTGCCAGGTCCAGGACTTGAACCACAGCCAGCCATGTGGGAGTCCCAGTGCTTCAACCAC